GTCTTTTATCTGTCAGGTTCTTCAGACGGCTGTGCTCAGCCGGGACATCCTCTCAGGAGGTCGCTGGTCCCAGTGTGAGTGGTTCTGTGGAGAACTGGTGTGTTCTGGTCCGTCTGTGTGGTTCTGTCTGCAGCGTGTTACCAGCTGGGTGTGGCTGCTGTCGGCTCTGTTCTGCTGCAAATACCAGAACCGTGTTCTGATCCAGGTCCCTGCTGTTGGTTCTGCTGTGAGATGAGAGAGAGCTGATGGATGCTGCACATCAGGAAGCACAGATGTTGAACTCTGTGGTTCTGCTGTGAAGTTCTGACCTGAAACCGGGACTCACAGGAACGTGGACGTTCTCACATTTTCCAGCAGTTCTTCTTTCAGCCACTAAACAATCATCCAACAGCTGCTCGTTAGTCTCCACGAAGTCGTCGCTGCTGCTCTGAAGTCAACTACGACTCCCAGGGTGCACCTCACCAGCAGACCTCGTCACAAGCTTCAGTGTGCAGCTGTTTGGATCAGTTCTGTTGGCGACCACATGCAGACTGTGACTCCAGAGAAGCTGCTGGTGCTGGACACGTTGTCTTCACATCCAGTCACAACTTCATTCATGTAGTTTTTAATTGTTGACTTTGAGGAAGATCAGCAGCTGTTCAGCAGCTGCAGGGCTCCAGACTGAACGTTCTCCACTGGGAGCACCGACGAGACCAACGTTCTCACTTGGTTCCACCTCCCACCTGGTCACAGGTGGACACCAGCCTGGCTGAACATCCAGACGCTCCCTGAACGCCTCACAGCTGTCAGACAGGTGTGTGGCCTCAGGTGACCTGGACAGCAGATCAGCTGCTCCACCGGTCCAAGATGAAGCAGCACACTGAGGTTCTGACCACTGCATCTATAATGCAGATACACACAGATGGAGGTGTTCATGTGAGGATGAGAAGCTGAAGTTCTGGTTGTGACTCAGGTGGATGTAGTTTCATTACCATTGGACCTGAATGAGTCTGTTTTCTGTGCCTCCACCTGCTCTCTGACCGCCAGGTGTGTCTGAGAGTCTTTACTCTGCTGTCAGAAGATCATCTCCAGATCATCTCCAGATCATCTGTAGAAACCAGCAGCACCAGGCAGGAACAGACAGAACCACGGAGGAAACAAGCTGCTGAGACCCGCCACCGTGCTGCTGCTGGGACTCCGGTACCGGACTTCAGGGCAACTCTTTGTGCAGAACTTCTGTGATCGGACACCACACTGTCACCGCTGGTGTCCATCCGTGGGTCTGTGTGGTTCCGATAGCCCCGCCCCACCGGGAGCTTTTCTCTGGACCAGCAGAGTTGGTGCTCGCTAAGTATCAGTCTGGAGAACCTGGAGCCGGTGCTTAGGCGGTTGAAACACAAAGAACTGGTTCTGAGTCAGGTTCTGGCTCCGAACCAGCACTGGAACCGGCTCGGTGGAAAAGGGGTTCGTGGTGTCAGGGGAAGATGGTTTACCGGGGGTATCCGGGGATCTCTCCGCCCTCCCGGGACGTCCCGCTGACGAATCGAGCCCCCCTCCGCCATTTGAGGACCGGAAGCTGTGCCCTGCTGCTTCCTCTTTTCCTGCGACAGTGAGCGAGAGACACCATGAAGGCGTCCGGCACAGTACGTAACCCTCATATTTACCCGTTTAGCGGCTCCTCAGGCGGCGGCTCAGGGCGGAGAACACTTTATAACGTGTGTCTGCTCCGGTTTGTGTCGGTTCGGTTCTTAAAATCCGTGTAAAGGTGAAGATTTGACCGTTTTTCGTCCTGATGGCTTCGCCTCGGCAACATGGCGGCCGCGGCACCATGTGCACGGCTCCACGGCTCCAGAACCACCATACAAGTAGTCTGAATCAGAACCGTCTTCAGCTCCCACAACGTCCCGATGTGGTTGGAAGTTGAGTTAAATTGTTCTTTTACCGTCCAGCACGACCTGCGGCAGCTAGCTTAGCTTCCATCGCAGCTAGCTTAGCTTCCATCGCAGCTAGCTTAGCTTCCATCGCAGCTAGCTGGTTAGCCGCTGATGTTTGTCCTCAACGTGGACCGAACACGCGACCAGCTGCTCAGAGTCACGAAAAGCTTCAAGCTGTCGGCACTTTACAGACTTTTTAGGGTCAGAAACATCTGGACTGAGGAGCTGGTGTCAGGATGAAGCTAGTTTTAGCTCAGAACCAGCAGAACCGGCCTGAAGGCAGTCAAAGTGTGTCAGACCAGAGCGGACGGGTTTGGGTTTAGTCCGTGTCCTGCCGCTGTGTGGAATGGGTTCACAGGTCCATAGGAGTTTTTACTCAGTCTAATTTTAAAATGAATTAATCTGCTGCTGGTCCTGAAACCTGAAGTTCAGGATGAGTTCTGGACACCAGAACATGGTGCCGTGAGCAGCTCAGTCAGTGACCACCCTGTGAATGAACATCCCAGTCAGGTTTTATTCATACTTCACGTTGCTTTGAAGGTAAAAGGGAAATGTTTGTGCTGTCAGAGAGTTTTCTGTTGAGCTTGTGCAGCAGCCGGCTGGAGGACGTCCGACAGAGAACATCTGCACCCAAACCCAAAGGTCATATCGTCTCCGTGGTATGATTCTGTCTGGAGTGCAAACAGGAAGCTGATCCTTGTCGCCTTTCTCTGCTGCTGCCGTGCCTCTGAAAGTGAATTCAAGGGTCAACAAGTCCTCCCTCCACATGTAGTGTTGTGTATCATGTGTTCTTGGTGCTGGGACTGTGAATCACTCACCTGGCCTCCTTCTGCCTGCAGCTTAGGGAGTATAAAGTCATCGGGCGTCTGCTGCCCTCTGCGAAGAACCCGGCGCCACCTCTATACCGGATGAGGATCTTCGCCCCAAACCATGTTGTGGCCAAGTCCCGCTTCTGGTACTTCGTCTCCCAGCTGAGGAAGATGAAGAAGGCGTCCGGAGAGACCGTCTACTGCGGCCTGGTAGGTGTCTGAACGCACAGGTGTGGAGGTAATGACACCTGAAGCCAGATCAGTGGGTCAGCAGGTATGTTGAGCTTCAAGTCAGAGTTCTCAGTGTCATGAAGGTGGCTCTCGTTTAACCTGCTAGGTCTCCATGGTAACTGATGCTGTGGAGCTAGGTCTC